CTTTCCCACTGTCAAACTCTTCTGCCAAAAGCAAAAATAGCTTCAGATTTTTCATTTGTAAGGCGTCCACGTCCTAGTAAAACCTTGGCATTTGAGGCGTGTGCAGTGCCATTGGCTGGAAATGGGGCCGCACTCTTGTGCCTGTTGCAGGAATTCTTAGCCAGGTCTGCTCCATGAGGTGTTGGCCCCCGTCGGGGGGTGAGTGCTGCAGGAAGCGCCGTGGAGAAGCCCTGCTTAAGCCAGGTCACGTCTGCAGGCTTGTGTGGAGGCTATATGGCCTTGGGCCTGGTATCAGGTGGGAAATTTTCCTCCCCTTCTAAACCCCATCACCCCCTTTACACAGAGAGAGAGAGAGAGAGAAAGCAGTGGAGTAATTGCTCCTTTGGGGGTACCTTTTACCAGGGGAACAGGGCTTGAGCCTCTGGAGACAGCCTGGCTTTTGCTTGGCCTTCTTTGGGAAGATTGTCCTGGATTGGTTGGGCCTTGGGACTAGAGGCTTTTATGATAGCTAGAGAGGGGTTGTTTTTCCTTCCCTAATTCTCAATTATTCATCTGAAAGCAGTATATGAAGTACTCATTACCCTTAAGAAGAGGAGATTGGCCTAAGGTGGAAAGGGTCAGGGGTGGGACGCAGCTTGGCAGGGGCAGGTGCCAGCCACTGAGGCTGGGGAGTCAAGGTGGAGCAGCCCTGGGAGAATGGAAGGGGAAGGACACTGGCCTCGCAGGGTGCAGAGCTGTGTATCTGGCCCAAGCAGGGTGCTAACGGGGTACCTCCTGGCTCAGCAGTCTCTTATCTTACTCTTTGCCACTGGAACCCCCTCAAGGTCCTGCCTCTCTGAGCTCCATTATGGGATAAAACAAAGATGTTAAGGGTCAGCGGTCCAGGGCGCAGCATCTGGGAGGAGGCCAGGAGGGTCCTGTGGGAGGACCCCAGCCTCGGATAACCTCGTGTTCTGAGTGATGCGGGTTGTGCCCCCTGTTCTGGGCACCAGCCTCATCAGGAATTCCCAGAACTGCCTCTTGTCGAGATGAGGTTCAGGTAAAGTCTGTCCCCACAGCAACAAACCCAGATGCTCTACTTCCTGTTTTGCATGGGCAGCCGTTACGAAGAGGTCTCGGTGAGACCCGAGGGGCTACTGCCTCGATGTCCCGGGTCCTAGTAGGATCAAGGATGCCTTGAGCCGAAGGGCTCCTTGTCAGTTTCTTGTCCAGTTCTCCCAATTGACAGAGGAGGATTCCGAGGCCCAGAGTGCGATGGTGGGCTTGCTTTCACAAGTGCAGGAGAGAAGTGAAACTGGAATGCAGGGCTTCCTGACCTCCTGCTCTTCGCTGCTTGGGCCGGGCTGAGGGGCGTCTCTGCATCCTGCTCTCTTCCGTGAGGAGCATCAGTATCTGCCTACACTTAGGTCAGGAGAGCTATTTAGCAGTGACTCGGTCAGTGGTCTGCTTGAAAATCGTCAGCTTCTACACACATGGAATTCAGCCACTCTGAAGGGATCTTTCTGAGTCTCAGCTCCCTTGCTGAAACTTATGGGGAGAAATGTCCAAGTCATAGGATTTTCTCTGGGGATAAATTTGAATTGTTGCTGTAAAAGTGCCTAAAACCGTGCCCAGAGCATTGTCAGCATGCAATAAATGTTCACTGAACGTGAATTGGAATTATCTGTGACCGAGGCTTACATTGTGGGCTTGCCCGCCCAACTGCCCTTACTCCTTAGAAAACCCAGTGAAGAGTGTGTGAAGGGACTGCAGATCCTCCTGATAGCCCAAAGAAAGTACGGGGAGTTATCAGGGTAAATTTCTTGAAAAAGATATAAAATGCACAGGATGTGTTCCCAAATCCATCAGTGGCATGCGGATCACCCACTGCCATGGATGAACAATCCCCCTGTTCTTTTGCCATAATCAAGAGCTCATCAGGCTTGTGCTGTTTTTCTGTTCTCTGAGTGATGACATTTATAGGGAATGTCATTGTCATTCCTGTTGTCTTCTGCGGCATCTGAATCAACCTCCCTTTATGAGGGAGCAGAGGCACCTGTGAATATTCTCCTTAGCATGCAGATGAGGAAACTGAGGCAGAGATTGGCTCCTTGAGAAAACCCGACTGAGAGCACAGTGAGTCAGAGGCACTTCAATTGGATTCTTTTGATTCTGATCTGTTGGCAGAGTTCCGCTGTCTGTCAGGAGAGAGAACGTCTACCCTTGAAACCTCCCTTAGCAAGGCATGGAGTAAGATCGAGGGAATGCAAATGATCTATAAAATCTGGGCTCCCAGTTTGAGAACCTCCTGATGCAGCAGTCTGAGCTGCTTCCTGGGCTGTTGGGTCAAAACGGAGGCGTCATGGCCTTTACCCTCAAGGAGCTTACGATGGGAGGGGGAAAACAGGGCTGTCCCCTTGAACTCCACATCGAGACCGCCTGGGTTTAAATCTCTCTGCCTTCTTATCACATCCTTTGACCAGTTACTCAAACTCCTCGTGATTTCTCTTCTTCATCTGCGACATGGGGATGACAGTCGTGTCTCCTCCCCTCTAGGGTTGTCAGTGGGGTGGGTTGAGATGGTCCACAGAAAGGCCCAGAGGGCCCAGAGGGCCCAGCCCGCCCTCTGTAAACATCAGCTGCTGTTCCTCTCTGGACAGGGAGACCTAGAGAAGTCAGGTAGCATAGGCTTCAGGGCATGTGGTGGGGGGCATCAGGCTGCCTGAGGTGGGATCCCTGTTTCATCCCTTTCCGGCTGGCAGACTGCCAACCCTCAGACTTCTTCCTAGGTTGCTGTGAGGGTAATAGGAGATGATCCGGGGGAGACGGTGTGTAGAGTACGTGCAAGATGATTGTTAGCGATGAGTATTAATTAGACGCGTAGAAAGTGTCTTGTAATCCAGCCCAGAGGGTGAGAGGTGCTAGAGAAGAGGGGCAAACAAAGCGCTGTGAGCCCAAAGAAGGAGAGAATTTCAAGGTGGTGAGAGAAGGGGGCATCGCAGAGAGGATGAGGAACCGGAAGGCTGAAGGGGAAGGATATTCCCCATAGAAGGAGGAGTGTCCAGAAGCAGAGCCGCTCTGCTCTTATTGCTGGAGGCTAGGACAGGTGCACGGAGCATGGGCCGGAATGGTCAGCCAGGATCCGTTTGCAGCAAGGCTGGAATGCCAGGCCAGAGAGTGTGGACCTGATTTTGTAGGTTGTGGGGTTCAGCACCATCAGAACCTGGCTTTAGGGAGATTACCCTGAGCAGAATGGATTTCTGGGGACCAGGAGAAACAGGGTGGGGGTGGGGCAAGAGAGACAAGCAGGCCAGTGGAAAGGGAAGGAGGCCTGAGGGAATGAGGGCCTTCATGAGGGCAGTAAGGGCTGTCATCTCATTATTTGGCAACTCTTTGGGTGAAGTAAGGAGAAAGATGGCCAAAGGGACAGGCCTGGGGTTAGGGCAGCCGTGAACAAAAGGTTGACTGAGGGGCAGCTTTGGGCGAGGAGGTAGGTTCGGTGTGACCTTGTCCAGCATCAGAGGCATCAGAGGCATCCAGATGGGGACAGTCTGGCGGTAGCTCAGGAGTGAGAAGAGGTGGAGATTTGAGGGCCTAGAGGAGTTGGTAGTCAGGAGAAGGAAGCAGGTTTATAGGGAAAGATGAAGATCAAATCTCATTTACAAGACAAACCTCTGCCTCATTCATTTCAACACAGAGTCAAGCCAACTGAACTCCAGAGGGTCCAAATAATTCTGAGTGAGGATTGGTTCCGTGTGCCAGTTTAGGATTAGTGAAAATGAGTGTGTCAACCCCAAACAATTTCCTGGTGCTGTTACGTGTGTTTCTGTGTCACCACATGTCTTCCCACAGATGGTAACACATTTGGGGATTCAGAGTCATTTCAGTATCATCCTTAAAAAGCCAGATTTGGGAAGGTAAATCTGTTTCTCAAAGCCAAAAATAATTCTCCGAGCCATTGTCCCCCCACTCCCATCCATGCAGGTGATGGGGAGGTGTGTCCACGGTGTGGTTCAGAGACTGGTGGGGGAAGGGACAAGGTGGCCCAGGGCTGGAGGAACCTCCAGGGCTGGAGTGGGGCCAGGTGAAAGGGGCTGGCATGGGAAAGAGTATTGTTACATAACCCGAGGGAGCTATGGATGGTGGGCAGATGGAGACGGGAGGCGAGGAATCTGGAGATGGCAGAGGGTGGATCAGCTTCCTCTGGGAGGGAGAGGGACAATGCATGGAAGGCAGGTGAACCAAGAGCCCGAGACCCTCTTTACGGAGGGGGGAAGGAGTCCTGCCCGGCCTCACAGCCTCTCCCACATCTTTCTGTCCTGGCTCTGAGGGGCACAATTGGATGCTAGGTTGCCAGGCGTCCCGGAGAGTAGCACTCCACCAGCAACTGCCTTCTCCATGGAACTTGGGGAACAGAACTGTACCGAGCTCTGGGCCTACCGTCTTTACCTGCCATCTCGGAGAACTTTCCAGACACGGGCAGGCCCAGCCTCCACCTCAGCAATGAGGAGTAGAAAGAATGTGTTTACCTGATCTCCCTTACCCACCCCCCATTCCTGATTACCCTGGTGGGTGAAGAGTGAAATAAAAATTAGCATGTTTATCCCACTTTTAAATTCGTTTAATGAGAACTCATTTACCCTCTCCCAATTTAAATTCGTAATAATGCCATAACCTTTCAGAGCTGATTATTACCCACGTCTTCCCAGATCTTCCTCCTAAAGAGCCTTTCCCTCCAAATGCTGCTGAGCCTTCCTGGAACTTGACAGTTTGTCGGGCAGTCTACAACACCTGGTGAGCCCAACACGGGCTGCCCCGTGCCGAGTGAGGTGCTCTCCCTAGGAGGGGAGGAAAAAGAATCAAGTCGCCGCCCTTGGGTAGTGACTTTGGTTTCATTGATTTGCCTTCCAGACTCTTGCCATCTCACTTGGCACTGATCCTTCCCCGTGTCCCGCTTCCTAGCGGGGAGGCAATCGCGGACTCACCCGGTTCTCTGCTCTCTCCTCCTGTCTCCCAGGGGTCGTGGAACGAACTCCAAGCTGGTGTGCGAAGCCTCCGCCTCCGAGCAGCGGCCGGCCCAAGAGCTGGAGTCAGCATGGCGGCCGGCGTGGCAGCCTGGCTGCCTTTTGCGCGGGCGGCGGCCATCGGGTGGATGCCGGTGGCCAACTGCCCCATGCCCCTCGCCCCTGCCGACAAGAACAAGCGGCAGGATGAACTGATCGTCCTCAACGTGAGCGGCCGGAGGTTCCAGACCTGGCGGACCACGCTGGAGCGCTACCCGGACACGCTGCTGGGCAGCACAGAGAAGGAGTTCTTCTTCAACGAGGACACCAAGGAGTACTTCTTCGACCGGGACCCCGAAGTGTTCCGGTGTGTCCTCAACTTCTACCGCACGGGCAAGCTGCACTACCCGCGCTACGAGTGCATCTCGGCCTACGACGACGAGCTGGCCTTCTACGGCATCCTGCCGGAGATCATCGGCGACTGCTGCTACGAGGAGTACAAGGACCGCAAGCGGGAGAATGCCGAGCGGCTCATGGATGACAACGACTCGGAGAACAACCAGGAGTCCATGCCCTCGCTCAGCTTCCGCCAGACCATGTGGCGGGCCTTCGAGAACCCGCACACCAGCACGCTGGCCTTGGTCTTCTACTACGTGACTGGCTTCTTCATCGCCGTGTCAGTCATCACCAACGTGGTGGAGACGGTGCCGTGTGGCACGGTGCCTGGGAGCAAGGAGCTGCCGTGTGGGGAGCGCTACTCGGTGGCCTTCTTCTGCCTGGACACAGCCTGCGTCATGATCTTCACCGTGGAGTACCTCCTCCGGCTCTTTGCGGCGCCCAGCCGCTACCGCTTCATCCGCAGTGTGATGAGCATCATCGACGTGGTGGCCATCATGCCCTACTACATCGGCCTGGTCATGACCAACAATGAGGACGTGTCCGGCGCCTTCGTCACGCTCCGGGTCTTCCGCGTCTTCCGGATCTTCAAGTTCTCACGCCACTCCCAGGGCTTGCGGATCCTGGGCTACACACTCAAGAGCTGTGCCTCTGAACTCGGCTTTCTCCTCTTCTCCCTCACCATGGCCATCATCATCTTTGCCACTGTGATGTTTTACGCCGAGAAGGGCTCCTCTGCCAGCAAGTTCACGAGCATCCCTGCCTCTTTTTGGTACACCATTGTCACCATGACCACCCTAGGGTAAGTCTGTGCCGGTGGCCAGTAGGGCGGAGGTTACATGGGAGGGAGGTTACATTTGGATGGTAGCTGGATCCGGCAGACAAGAATGGAGTCACTTGTCCAAGTCGTAGGAGCAAGGGGAGTTGCCTCATCAGAAAGAGGAAGGCACACGTGTGATTCATTTGGGGGGTGAGAGCTTGCTCTGAATTGAGTTTTCTTTTGGGGGGGCATGCATTTTATAAAACATGGAAAATTAAGCCATCATTTCTCTTTTCAGCCCTGCATTCTGTGTATGTGTGTGGAGTGGAGTGAGTGGTGATTGCTGGGTTCTTATATGCCCCTTCGCTTGTAAGGGCTGCCGCGGGGGAGGGAAACGGGGTAGCAGGTGGGAAGGAAGAAGGGCCTGAGGAGTTCGGTGAATGTGGTAAGGAGGGCACACAGTTCCATTAACCAGAAGACGCTGAGAGCACTCTCTTTGGATCCTTCCTGCATTTCTTCTCTGTAGTGTATCTGCAGGCTATTTCTCTTTTGCTTTCCTTCTCTGCTCTGCTGCCACAGACGCTCCAGGGTTTGGTGGCTCTGAGCAGACTTTCTCTAAGTGACTCTCAACTTGGGGTTCCTGCAAAGCGGAGCACCCGACTTGTTTTTTCTCACTGAAGGAGGAGTTCTCTGTGATTGAATGACCCGGCCTACCTGGGCCATGGTGAGATGGTCTGAAGAGATCACATGGTCAGACACAGAAGTAGCAGGATCATCCCGGGGAGGGAGAGGCACTCAGCAAGGGCCATGGGTGATGCCGTCTCTTCCATCTCCCCAAGGTCCCTTCTCTAGCTGAGGTCGCAGAAACGTGTTTATGGTGCTGGCATGCGAAGGTTTCCATCCGAGGAAGGGGTTCGGGAAGGAGATTGCAATCTTCCCCCTAACAGGATTAGAGCCAACAGCAGCCGCTTTATGGAGGAGACATGAATTTCTTAGGGGTTTCTGCTTCGGCCGTTGGAAGTCATTGAGGCTAATGCAAAATCCCTTTACAATTCGTATGCTGGGTCTGTATTTGCTTAGGCCAGGAAGGGTTATATTGCTGATGGAGAATTCATGAAGCTTTTTATTTGGTCTTTGACAATTTGGTTGGTGGCGTCCTGGTGATTTGATTTTTTTTTTTCCTGGCTGACACCCCGTGGCGCTGGTGTCGGTTTTTCCATAGTGCTGTGTATGCTTATTGGGAATGACTGAGCAGGTGACAGGACCTTTTAAAATGATTACATTTGTCATTGGGCCACACAGGGGGGTGGGGCGGGCAAGGAGTGTCATTGTCCATTTGTGGAGGACACATTTGATGGGGGCATTTCCTTTCCCTCTTGTCCGTCGGACACAGGCCATCCTGCCCCTTCCTCTCTCTCCAACACACACATAGTTCTTTGAACAGCCACTCACACCCAGAGTGGGTAGGAGCGTCTGGTCGTTTGACCTTGTCTCTTGGCGCAGTGGGATATTTAGGGATAAAGTGGCCTGGGAACTGGTCACCGTGTCAGGAGAAGGAGGCATCTTTGCCCCTTCGAGGCCGACCCTGACCATCCCTTCACTTTCCTGAAGGGGAACCCCCCCCCAGGCCAGGACCTCCCTGGCCCTGCGCCTGACGTGGCTGTGACCATCCCGCGTGCCCTTACCTGCCCTTTGATGGGACTCATGACACCAGAGTGATGCCTCAGGACTGCCGTGGGGAGAAAACAGGGCAGATGGGTGGATGTCAGAGTTAAAGTGGGATCGCTTCAGAGGAGATCGATGGAAACTTCAGGGGCCACCTGCCTATTACTTTTTATTATTAGGGTAACAGCATATGTGCTTCTACCGTGTGTCAGCGGTGCACTAAGCACTTTGCATATATTACCCCTTTGAGTCTTCACAACAGCCCTGCTAGGTGGGAAAAATGCCATCCCACTTTGCAGATGCAGCAGGCGAGGCCCAGAGAGATCAAGTACCGTACAGCTGATCGGGGCAGACCTGATTTCCCAATGCCAGTCTGGCTGTCTCCAGCGCCCATTCCCTGTTCACTCGCCACTCCGCGTGTCCCCATACCATTCGGGGCCGTGGGGGGAAAGTAGACCTCCAGGGTTCCATCTTTTATATTATGGCCTCGGGGGGTCAGTTTATTCTAGTCACGTCGCTCTTGAACACGGACACAGTGAGTACTGCAGGCACTGTCCTAGGCACACAGGGAATTTATAAACCAAACATTTCCATCTGGCCCGTTTAAATGCTGCCTTGGGAATCAGATGGCTGCATTCCTGGCAGAATCCGCTGTTTTACTGTCGCTGGGGAGACCACTGATGTCCTTTAGCATCCACCCTCTAGGTCAAGGGCGAGGCCAGTGTCAGGGGATGGACAGTCTTGGCCTTGTATCTACTTTCTGAGGGGGGGGAGGGGATGGCAGGGAGCAGGGGGCCTCTGCCAGAGAGTGAAGGTGAAGAGGAAGAAAAGGGGAGTAGCATGCTTCCCCTGACTGTGGCCCGGTGGGCTCCTCGCCGTGCTCTTCCGTGTGCATCAGAACGTCTGGCCTCTGGGAGGGGAAGCGAATGAGCAGGACAAGAAGTCTTCCTTCAGTCGTGTCTTCCTTAACCTCGGATAAGTAATGGGACAGCAGGGTTTTCTTCCTCCACCCTGGCTGGTGTGGTTGAATGCTGGATTGGGCAACTTTGACTTTGACCTGAGTTGGCAGGTGGAACCATTGCCAGGCTCACTGCTTGGCTATACATAGCAGGTACTTGGCAAAACGTTTTTTAATGGCTTGGTCATTGTGAATGGGGCGCCTTTTCCATTTGCCTGGCCTGATACTGTTCTCAGTCCTTTCCAGACCTGCCCGTCCACCCTTTCTAGGGTGGACCTAAGATGCATGCTCTGCCCCAGCCCTGGCCCCTGGGGGCAGAGGAGGGCAGCCTTCACCTGGCCTCTGGCCCATCCCCTGGGACACTCTGCAACATCAGGGGCGGGGGTCTTCTTGCTCTGCTCAGAGGTCTTCCCAACTCGACCCTGGAAACTTTTCCCTCTCCCCTGGCTGGTTCCTGTCCTGAACTTATTCACTGGCTAGCTGTAGGCCTAAGCGATTCCAGAGAGCCCTTCTTTTTCTTATTCCTTGCTGGCATTTGAGCCCCCAAGTGGCTGTGGGATACCAAGGGCCAATATTCTGCCACATTCCACGGTCTGTCCAGCTACTTCTAACAGCTACCAGCAGACACTTCGTTCTTCCCATCTGCAGACCCTCCCTGCCCTAATCCTGCCCCAAGTTCCCGTTTCAGTCTGGGAGAAACTGTCTTCGGCTCCTTTGCAGAGGAAGGCGGACTGACAGGCCACGGGGCTGGGCTGAGGACCGAAGTGCCGAGCAGAGTTCATGCTCCCTCACTCCAGTTCCCATCTCTGCCCGCCTTCCCAGGACTCACTGATGAGTTACTCAGGTGTCCTCCAGGGAGGGATCTCCTGGAACCAATCATTTCTGTTTATTTAATATCTCAAAATACCTTAAGCACACAGAACAATAACGGCCCAACTGCTGCCGAGGCTCAAGGATGGCTGACCTTTGCAGCTTCTTGTGCTGGTAGGGAGGACCTGCATGGCCAGCCATGTTTCCCTTATGCCCCCTTGACCGTAGAGCTCCCACATGCACCACGAAAGGATTAATTTCAGTGCCCATAATTGCTGCTATAAATAAAATCCTCAATTATCTCAGCTAACAGAGGAAAGGGATAAGACAGAACTCCCAATATTAAATAAGACCAACATGTCTAGTTTATGAAGGTCGTCTATGTTGTAGACTTTTTAAAGCAGATTTTCCTTCTGAATTTTGTTTGACTTGGCTTGGCATCACGATTGGCCTAGACTTTCTGAGTCAGTCTGTGGGTGAGGCTCCAGTTCAGAGTGGGGAAGAGGAGAGCGTGCGGAAGGAAAGCCTCGCGAGTGAGCACCCACCAGGGCTATCGAAGGCCAGCTCCGAGACTGGAGGGGATGGGGCCGTCTTGGCTATCTTCAGGGCGGGGGGTGGGGGGCGTGGGGGCTTGGGAAGGGCCCAGAGGGGACTTGCTCCTGGTAAGATGGCCTGCTGCTGCCTGGTTGGCTTGCTTATGTGATTGAGACAGGCAGCCTATCTGTCACCCCATGCCCTGAGATGAGAGAGCTTTTGACAGTGTCCAAAAATCACTTTAACTAAAACAGAATCGATTTTTACTTCCTCCAAGCATGAAGCAGCCTCCAGGTGATTTGCATTTCCCTTTAAAACATAATCCTGGAAGGGGCCTGCCTGAGGTTTTGCAAGACTGGGAGTCCGGCCTGGACAATCAATACAGGCGCATCACGGAATGGGGTGCTTGACCAGGCTACCCCCCAGCGCCAGAAGTGGAGCCAATCTGGGATCTGGTTAACCCTTCAATCCCCCCAAATTCTGGCTGCACCTTCATCCACTGCCTCCGGGGCCCACCAGCCCTCCTCCCAACTCCCAAGTGCCTTGGCCTAGGACAGTGGTCAGCTGTGCCTACATGGATGGTGGTGTGTCCCCGCCCAGGGAGATCTGGTCATAGCCACACTTATTGGAAATGAATGACCCCAAGGTCTTTTCTTGGTTTGACACTTCTTAACCAACAGTTCTCGGGTGCTGCAATTCCTAAGAGAAGATTCCCGACAAGGAATCTTGCATTCATTCAACATTTATTGAGTGCTTACTGTGCACCAGGCCCTGCAAATACAAAGCGCCATGATTGCACATCAGCCCAGTGTAAGGTCCAGACAGCAAGAATTGAATGACACTCACTTCTCTTCCCTTTGAACCAAAACAAGAGATGGTGGCAAGAGCAGTAGACCAAGGGTCAGAAAAAGAGGCCTTTACTCATATTCTTCCTGCCACTCCAGAGACAACCCCTCACTTCGCTCTGTGTCTGGCTAGCTCCCATCATCTGTCACAGCTCAGCCCCACATCATCTCCTCCAGAGTCCTTCCTGCCACCCCCAGTACCAGGGAGTACTAGGCACCTTTCTTCTTGCTTCC